ACATTAACTGACGTGTATGACCCTGGTCATTACAAAGCTTTCCCCTCCCAAAAGATTCATATTATGCGGTATAGTCAACAAAACACCCACAGTAAATACATAATTTTCAAAACACAATATCCTGCAATACTGGGGTAATGGTCAACAATACAGGCAACCAACATGTTACAAAATTTTCTTATACTTAAAATTTTGCACCTCAAATGACTAATCACAAAAACTCCCAGACATGGGCAGATAAAACTAACAAAGCAATACTTGTCTTGACACACAGAAGAACATAATCATACATCAATATTACAGAACATAATAATAAAAACAGGCCGGCCTCAATTACATTTTTGTAAATTTTTAGCTACAACATCCACCACGATGACATGTAGTTTCTATCTAGGCGATTGATCAGATTTGTATGACGCTGGACCCAAGCACAAAATTAAACAATCGAGATCTCAGGCTGAGAGTAGATAGACTGACCCCATCCAGCCACTGAAGTATTCGGGTTGACCTTATCACAAAAGAATCATTCTTCACTCAAGAGAAGAGGCAAGATCTCAGTGGCCAGAGCTAACATGGACTCAAATAGAATATAATGCCGGCGACCCGGTCCACGTGAAACCCCCTAAACCTCCAGTGCCCTTCTGTTACTTGGCAATGCAAACGTCTTAAACTGCACTAGGTCCATGAGATGTAATAGCTACTTTCACTGCTGGGCCACTGAGGCCACCAAATTGTAGTTCACACAAGCTGCCACCCCTGCACTCTTCACGTTGATACTCTGACCTGGTAACATGACGTAGAGAGGAAGGCCCATGGGTTCATGTAAATATGATATCGAGTATTAGGGAAAGAACAACGGTGAAAACTATGGGTGAATCATAGACACACATAAAAATACATTGTTTATTGGTACAAAAAATGGTTACAGGAAGATGTAGCATGCACCCAAATGGGAACTCCTGGTACCCACTGCCCATCAGGCTCAATTTACTTGCACCACTACTGGGTGTGCTCACACTAAAACCTTTACATAACTCTCAAAACACCTTAACCAATAAACCTGTGGCACCTGCCAGTCACAACGCACCAATACCCCAGGGGCAACGCCTCCAGCAGCCGCCAAGGGGGAGTCTCATTACCAGGTGACACTTTTCCAACACTCCGATAATTCGATTGGATAACACCACCACACAAACAGCCCCACTGAGCTATGTGTGTACTCATCCATCACCTGATGGGGCTGGCAGTGGTTTTGTGGGCTTGACGATCCGGGTTCACCACAGGGCATAGCGTCAGGGAATACTGGCCAGCTATGGGCCCATAGGTGGTAGTGAACTTCTGACGGTAGGGGTTCACCGACTCTACTGGACCTCAGACATCTCCCAGACTAGTGGATCGCCATCCATGCTACAAACACGTCTAGGCTGCGATAGGGACCTGTGGGTGGAGGAGACATAGCGCTGACTCACGGTTCATAACAGACACTCCACGTTTCAAAGGGACAGTGTGTTATAAAATACTTCACTCAAAGCACATTAGTACATTACTTTAACACTTGCATAAACAAACTATGGTGTAGGTCAAATCCTTAAAATGTGAATTATAACCTGCGAAGAAGGTGAGTGGCCTACCTGTGGGTGGAGCATGGCGCTGACTAGTTTGAAAAGCAACCGCCGCCTTCCACCCCCTCCCCAAAAATCACAGATTCCCACCTACTCAGCCATTTCACTAAAATTACATTACTGTAACACTCTGACGTTTGAAACTGAGACTACGAATTCAGTTTCGGCTCCTACTATTTTCTTTAAAAACAATGCTCTGACTGAGCTATCAAAAGCAGATGAAATTGATAACAAAGGTTGGATGGCAACAGGTCCCCAACATAGCGCCTTGCTGCAACACCGTGTAGCAGATTTTTAAAGTTTCCTTTCAGGAATATCGCTCATTCACTGGTTAACCTCCTACCTAGAATTTCACTATGATTATCAAGTCTCTGCTAATCATAGGTATAAGGTTTACGGGTTCTCGGTAACAGAGAAAAATTTACAACTACAGTCAGCAAACATACGACATCTCAATGGCGTCATCAAAAGAAAACAGGAGGCAGGGACATTCCCCACTGTGTGAGACTCAGAAGGTTTTGTGGACGTGTAAG